TGCTTTGAAGTCTTGCTGCCTCATGAATGGATAACATGTGTGATGGGATTTCATTAAGATCAGGATAAGAGATAGTTTCAAGAGGTTCAAGCTTGCCTGATGTATAACAAACATTAATAATACCAAATTTACATCCTAGTTGATATTTTTTGCCAATTATATCAACTACTTTGCAAGGAAGCATGGGACAGTTAGTGCCAAATTGATCGATTTTAGGAACAATTATTCGCACAAGATCACCAACGTGATAATTAATGATTTTTCTTTTTTTTTGTCATTTGATTTACCATCTTTTTAGTATAAAGCTGAAGATCTCGTCGTGTCGTACTTCGTAATAATTCATGTGAAGTATTTGTAATATTTTTAAGAACTGAATTGTTTCCTATTAGCATGACAATTTTAGGATTAATAAATTTTTGAGAATAAAAAATTTATCATTATGCATGTTAAATAATATTATAAACTTGCCTGAGCGTGAAATACTGTCATTAATCAGTTGAGATTCTGGAATTTTACCCAAAATACAAATATAAATTAGTAATAAAAAAAAATAAATAAATAACACAGTAATGAACTTGTCTAAAATACTACTACTATTATCCGGCTGCCAGTGTAGGCTTTTTCCTGAGAATAGAAATAGAAATATTTAAATTATTTAAGTTAAATATTGATATTGATATAGAAAAAAAAAATTTAATTTGCTTACCATCTGGCTTCCGGTGTGAGTTTTTATCTAAGAATAGGAACATAAGTAACATAAATTAACTAAGTAAAAAGGAAAAGCAGCAATAAGAACTTGCCACCATAATTTTTTAAATGCCATTGTGGGGCTTATAAAAATAAAAATAAAATAATATGAACTTACTTAAAGATCCACTACATTCATCTAATCGTGAACATGAAGGTTCTAAGCTTTTATCTGAAAATAACGGATTTTTAAGTTTGTAAAAAAAAAAAAAAAAAAAAGATATCAGTGTAGTAATATGAACTTACTCAAAGATCTGTTGCCACCTTTATCCAATCGCAAATGTAAGGGTTCCGAGATTTCATCTAAAAATAAAATTTTTTGTAAACAAAAAAAAAAAACAAAAATTATATATAGTAATATAAACTTACCCAAATGTTCGCTACTATTATCCAATCGCAAACGTGAAGATTTCAAACTTTCATCTAAAAATAAATATTTAGGTTTGTAAAAAAAATAAAATAAATAAAAAATAAAAATAAATATATAGTAATATGACTGACTTATGGAGCCACCACTATTATCCAATTGCCGTTGCAAAGGTACTGAGCTTGTATCTAAGAATAGGAATATTATTAAATAACACTGTAATAAAATTGAACTTATTAAACTAATCAGTAGTATGAACTTACTCGTAGAGCCACCGATATTGCCCAGTTGCCGTTGCAAAAGTACTGAGCTTGTATCTAAGAATAGAGATATTATTAAATGACACTAATAAAATTAAACTATATTAAACTAATCAGTAATATGAACTTACTCATAGCAATAGAGCCACCACTATTGTCTAGTTGCCGTTGCAAAGTTCCTGAGCTTATATCTAAAAATAGTGATATTAGTAAATAATACTATAATAAATTAAACTGTATTAAACTAATTATCTGAAATATTATCATTACAAACTAATTGATCATGTAGTTCTGAGTTTTTATCTATAAATTTAAATATAAGTTAACAGTAAGTAATAAGATAAATTGTACTAATTGTAAACTTCTGAACTTATCTAAAGTATTGTTACCACTGTTTATTTGTTGCTCCGAACTTTTATTTACGAATCTAAAATATGAGTTAACAGCAAAAATAGTATAAATAGATTGTATCAAATATAAACTTACCCAAAATATAAGCATCATATTGATGATATAAAGGCCTTATGCTTTTATCTATTAAAATATAAGTTAGCAGTAATAAGAATAAAATATTGTAAAATATATTAACTTATCCGAAGTATTATCACCACTATCCTCTCGATGGTATAGAAGTTCAGAGATTTTATCTACAAATTTAAAATGCAAGTTAATAAATTAGGAAAGAGAGAGAGAATATAAAAAAAATATTAATTTACCCCACGTATGATCATCATTATTTGACTCGGAGTTTCTTTCTAAAAATTATAAAATTTAAGTTAATAATGTAATAAAATTATTGAGATCATAACAAATGCTAAGTGCCTAAAGTATTATTGCCATGTTGGTTTGAAACATCAGAGTTATTGTCTAAAAAATTGTGAATGCTATTAATAAAAAAAATTTAACAAGATAAATTGTTACGAATTTAAATTTACCTGCATTGTCTAGTTCCTCAGATAGTGATTCTATACATTGGTCTTAAAAAATTAATAAATAATTATAGAATCAGGAATTATAGCAATTATATAAAACTTTACCATTTATGTCATTATCCAAATCTATAATAGAATCGCTCTAAATATCAATAGTACTCAGAATTTCTTCTTCATCATGAATATTCCTTTCAAACAAATCATTAACTAATATACAATTTCTGCAGGGTTTACCCCTATAAACAAGTTCATAAGGGGTTTTCTTATGTGCTCGACACCATGAGGTGTTCATAGCAGTGATAACAAATCATAAGCTGAATAACTAGTCATCACAATCTGTTTCTTCCTTCTATTTGCCTATTTTTTGTTTCAATATTCTATTTGCCTATTCTACAAGTTCTTGAGACTGAGGGTGCCTAGGGCACCCATTTATGATTTTTGCTGATGGCCATAATTTCATTAATTTTTTAATAATTTTCGCACAAAATTCTTTTCCATTGTCTGACTGAAGTATTACAGGAGATGATCCTATTAAATGGAAAAGATCAAACAGGTAGGCCGCCACTTTAACTGCTCTTTTAGAGGTAAGAGCTTTTGCCCAAGAAAATCACGAAAAGTGATCGCGTACGTGGCATATGTATTTAAACTCTCCATCCGAATTAAAGGTCATGTCTATTAGATCAATCTGGAAAAAAAAAAAGATAAGAGTAATAAATAAAACAAATAAAATAAAGTGCTTGAGGATATCCAATTGTGAAAAAAAAAAATAAATAAAATAAAGCAAATAAAATATGCTACTTGAACACGGGACAAAAAATTTTTTGTGATGATTGGCTTGGCGGCTAAAAAATGAAACATTGGTTTGCGAACAGCGCATATAGTACAATTATTGACGAATTGTTCAATGATGTCTTGTTTCACCCAGCCCCATCTTTCTCTTATGGTTTTCCAGGTTTGTTTTTAATCTCCATGTTGAGTTATTTGACCGTGAACTTGACAAAGTGTCTCATACATATTTTCAGTAATCAACACTGGATTATTGGTCACCTTTACAATAATCCTATAGTCACCAGAAACTATTTTCTCAAGTCAGAACTTTTTTTTGGCCCAGACTCTCATATTTTTATTGTAAAACTAGGTATTTTGAAGATCTAGTAAAATACACTTTATTTTATTGTATAATTCACGGTTAATTAAAGCCTTTTCATGTTTTGATTCTGGAAGATTAGAAACATAATTTTCAAGAATCTTATTAAGAGTACTTCTACTAATAAAATTATATTCCATTTATGAAGGCATTGAAAATATGTATATAGTCACGTTGATATAACAACTTTTGATAGAATAATTCTTAGAGCATAGTACGATAACACAATGAAGTATGTAAATTTTATTTGGAGAGAAGAAAAAATCAGTTTGCTAAGCTTACGACTTATTTTTTATTCGATTTTACTGCGCTTTAGATTTATTTAATTATTGCATAATGAAACAATTACTAATATAGAAATCACATTATTTTCCAAGTAAGTATTACAAATAAATATTTAATGTCTGAATTTTTTTTATGCAAATCCTCTTGCCTCAGGTGACGACTAAGGTACCTCAGGTAACCGATCGACATGTTACACACCTCATATGATGATCAACACCTGAGGTGCCTCGGTTGTCACCTGAGGCAAGAACTGATATGAGGCACAACATATATAAACAGTTCTTATATTTGTATATAAGTATGTAGAAGTTAATTGCATAATAGCATTTATTTTACCAGTCTTAGAAGATGTATAGTTTTCAAAACTAAATTGAGATAGGTAAAAAGGTTTTAAGCTAGATAATAAATTGTTTGCAGATTTGAAATTGTAAATATAGTTTAGTTTTATCTCTATTAAAAAGAGTTGTAAATTGGTGCAAACTATTTATTAAAGTGGTCTAGAAAGTTTTTAAATAAGGTAATTAAAAATTTATCAAGAAATAGATTTTTTGAAAAGTTAAAAAAAAAGATTAATATTGAGTTTGCCATCTGATTTAATTGTAGATATTTTCTATTTTGGTTAATAGATACAATATGAGAGCTAAAAGTAAATAATTTGAGTTAAAGGTTGAAGTTTTTAATGAATTTTTTATAGTTAATAGCATGGTAGTTGTTAGATAAAAGTGTACTAAGTTGATACAAAATTAAATATATTTTTTTGCTTTGAAGAAAAGAATAGTAGCAGGAGAAGTAAAGATTTCTGCATAGTTAAGTTTAGTAAAAAGGATTGTAGTAAATTAAAGTATAATTTTTTTATCAATAGTTTCAAATAGGATAGTAGCATCTTTACTGATATTTGGATAAAGCTAAAAGATATAATCAATTAAAAATTAAGGGTATTCTCTAGCTATTTTCTAAATAATATAGTAAAAGCTTGTTTTTAAAGATTCATGATTATGAGTTGCTTCTTTAATAATATTATCTAAATAAAAATTATAAAAATATTTTTTAAAAAAATTATATAGATGTATAGAAAAAGTAATTTGTAGTTTTTTGTTATCTTTTATATTGTCAGTAATAGGAAAGTTTTGGAGCCAATTAAAGGTTAGGTTTAGTTTAGTATATACTTTGAGTTGGCTAATAGAGGTATTTGTAGTTTAATAAGCTGAATTATTGACTATAGTAGTATAGAATGGTTAGGTAGTTCTAAAAGGTTATTCTATATAAATTTAATAAAACTAAATTTGTTAAAGTTTTAATTTTGTACTAAATTAACAAGAAATTAAATATATAGTAATTAGTATAATTGAAAGTAAATCACTAATATTTGAGGCCTAGGCAATGTAGATTATGCAGTAAAAAGTTATACAAAAAATATATCTAAGTGTTTTTTTAGAGAGCAAAAAACAAAAGAAAAGAAAAATTAAAAAAGTTTAAAATTTTTTAAGTATAACTTCATTAGTTTTGGGACTATAAGCTTAAGCTATAGCTTGTTATGATGAGGGTAGTGAGCTTTTTAAGTTTTTTTAAACTTGGAGAGAAGATTTATATAGCAGTTTTGAAGTTATTTATAAATTTTATAAAAAAAAGCCAGAGAGCCATTTTTCAGTAAATTTTTTTTTTTTTTTTTTTCGGTGTTAAGGTGACCTCTTGGCCGGGGACTTTTTATTAGATAATTAACAACGTTACAATTATGA